AAAATTACAGACACTTTACTGCAGACGTCACATCAATCAATTAAAAAAGATCTTTGAATCTGGTGTGAGGCAGCATCGATTTCATGAGCTTCGGACGAGCCTGAAAGAACCTCGGATTGGATAGTGCCTTGTCTTTCAGGAAGTGCTTCAGGCCGAGGCTTATTAATGCGAAAGCATCTGTTGCTGGGTTAAGGACCTCAGCCCATTTTCTTACTTGGACTTTTGACCTATTGGCCCTCCTCTTGACTCCTTGTTGACCGCTCTACCACGTGGCCTAACACCTTCCACGAGCCCCCTAGTTCACAAACAAAAATGTTGTAGGGAAAGGGTGTCGACATAGGGCCTGAAGTGGAGGCAACTGGTTATTAGGGGTCAGTTATCGCGTGGATATATATATATATATATATAGAGGTAGATTGATAGAAGTACTCCTCAAAATAGAGTTCGCATATGCCGCTTTGATAAAAAAATAGTGTTTCCGTTCAAGCTTATCTCCTAAACTATGTTGTTTCTTGTGACTTTTGAGAGCTCAGTTAAATTTTGTGCCTAATGAAAGATGGATTTTTCATCTTTTTCAACCAACATAAAGAGTCATATATATTTTTTATTTCTTTATTTTTGAATCTATTAACTATTTCTTTTGTTTTCTGCGTTCTTTTTAAAGGTGTTCATGAGAAATTTTCTCAACTTTATTCAAATTTGAAGGACTTTTTCCTACAAAAGGATCTCTTTTATATTTCTTTCCATAAATTATTTTAGTGAGCAGACCGACTAGTGAAAAGTAGAAAAAATTATTTAAACGTTAAACAAACAACTGCACAATTGTTTGTTTAGTAAACTATTTGAAAGTTTAGAACTTGACTTCACTTAAGATGTATTACTCCTAGAAGGCATCATATTCACATAAATAATATATTACTCGAAAATAAAAAATCATAAAATCATTTTTAAACCAAATTCAATTATCAGGATTTGGCCTAACTTTGAGGGCATGTTTGATAGGCCAAATTTTCCGTGGAAGATGGAAATTATTCTACCATTTTCCACTTTTTAGCCTGTTTGATAGAAAATATTTTCTTGGCAATTGATTTTCTAACTTTCCCTCATGTGACCCTCTATTCCACCCAAATAAGGAATTCATTTTCTTATCCTCCAGTTGGTTTTTTGTTTTCTTGACAAGGGTGAAAAACCCACACTTTCCCTTTCTCTTTCACCTCTCAACATTTTCAAAAGGTGGAAAAGGCTATTTTTTTACCTTATTTTCCTTTGAAGACTCGGGTTTACCAAGTGAAGTGAAGTCATGTCGGATAGTTCAATTTTCTGAGGAAATTTTGGTGTCGACGGTGTTGATGAAAGTTGTATAAGTGGTGGAGCATCCGCTCTTGGGGCGACTGTGGAACATAGAAATGAGGGTGTCAGTGGCGACGGTGGTGAAGATTTTGACCGAAATTCACCTGTTAATCGGTGGCCTCGTGAGGAAACTTTGGCTTTGTTAAAGATAAGATCCAATATGGACCGTGCATTTCGTGATTCCATTCTTAAAGCCCCTCTTTGGGATGAAGTTTCTAGGTACCCTTTCCATTTCACTACCTCCCTACTGTTCTATTTTTTGCAGCATATTTGAATTGAGAATCACTAGTGTAAAAACCCATAATTTCAATATTTTCCAAGAGAAAAATTATACCAATCAAATACAATTAATTGACAATTTTCAGTAAAACAAGTTCTAAACAATTCAATTCCCTGAAATTCGTTTTCTTTCCACCCAAATTTCATTCTTACAATCAAACGGACCCTAATTATTTGTTAATTCATTTTCATTTTTTCCCCTCATAGTCAAACTCTACCACCATAGTATTCACACACAATTCATTAGGGCCACTGGGACAATTGGGAATTTACTTAATCTATTCTAAATGCACAATCAAATTACAAACAAAAGCTACATTAATTTTGTTCAACAACGCCCATGCAACTTTTGAAAGATATATAAAATAAAAGTTTAAGAGAAAAAACAATTACTTTTAAAGTTATAATTCAAGTACTAATTTCAAAAGCATAAAAAAGGTAGTGATTTTTTTTAGAAATATTTAATGCAATTGTCTTATATGCATGGACGGTCTACTTCTTGCTCGGATTCGTACCTAGTCCGTTCACCTACTCTATTTCTGTCGACATGTGGCAGGTATGATATAAGATTGAGTAAATAATATTTATAAACGATGATTTATGTGATTAGTGTCCCATGAAAATTAAAAAAAATTGAAAAATAATAAAGAAATATTAAATTGTTTTCCAACTGATTTGGGTGAAACCTCTCCAATGGCTTATGGGCAACACAATTGATAGTTTCAAACTCTCTTCTTCTACTACTGTTACAATGAGGTATCCTATGTATAAATATCTATATCTATGTGATTATATATATTTGCATCGGTTAGACTTGATCAACAATCTTTCGCTTTTGTTGAACTTGAACGAGCTAGCCATATATTTTTCCACTAATTTCGTAAGTTGTTTTGGGAACCTCAATGTCATATTTTTCCTCAAATAATCACTCTTATAGTTGAAATGTCCTAAGCATAAAAAATTTTGTTTGTTAGAACTCTATAACAAAGGTTACAAAGTGCCCAATCTTTCCTAACTTTAGACTCTTTCCTAGGTTGCATGCAAATGAAGAAGCTATTTTTCTATTTATTCTTCCACCTCCTTAAATTGGAGGGTGGAGATTAACTTTATCCTACGATGGAGACGGAGGTTATAATGCTTTCACCTAAAATATTCTAGATATTTATCAGTTGTACTACATGTACATAATATATTTACATAATAATTTATATACACATGATTTGATGAAATATATATAATTCGATAAAATTTCTTCGACCAAATAAAAAAAATAAAAATTTTCCTACTCTTTTTTAACACCTTATGTGTATGTAAATCATTATATAACTACTTATATACAAATATCATTATTCAATATTTATGACCTTTAATTTTCCTTCATAAATGTTTTTAAATTTATATGTCCACAACGCTCCTATATTTGCTATAGTTCCATAACATTCTACAATTTTCAAGAGTCCTTGTTTTGAATCTGGGTCATAGAAATTGGGGTAAATACATTGTTAGTCACTCAACTTACAACGAGATATTATGTTAGTCAACCAACTTTATTTGGTTTCAGAGTAGTGAGTAAAATTTACGTGTTGTTTAAGTCACTTAATATCTTATGAGTTTTTTTTAACGGTATGGATCGTGCACAAGATCTCATTTACTATAAAAACTTGTGGATTGTAATTGAGTGATCAAACTTAAACAAGAAAAAAGGCAAAGTTCAATCGCCACTTCAAAACAAACTAAAGTTCGATGTTTTCATCGTAGAATAGAAGTAGTGAATCGGTACTAGCAAGTTGCTAATTGAAATTCAGTTAATGCTGTTGGTAAGAACCCTTTTCCGAGGTAGTCTTTTTATTAATTGTCATTGGATTGTCAACTGGAAAGTTGAACTATATGCTTTGATAACACTAAGTGAAGCAAGGATAAAGTTCGATATCAAGAATTTGATTAGAGATTTTTCGAATCATAACCAAAAAAAAAAAAAAAAATTCTCATAAATGCATTTGAATGCTATTTGCCTCATTTAATTTGTGCAGTCCTGTTATTAAAATGGTCAATGCAGTGAGAAGTTTAGTGAGTGATACCTACCCTACCCTCGTCCCACCCCTTCCCCGCCCACCATCGCGTCCACTATAAATTGAAAGAGCAAGAGGGCTGTGCCTCATCAAATTCATTGCAAATCAACAAGAGGTTGGGGAAAAAGATGAGTTTATTCGATATTAAACTTGTTATACTATCACTGAACTTGCTTTTTGCCACCCTGTTGGAAGCACGTCCAAAGGCGCATGTGACTATTATAAGTAACGTGGAGAGAGGTACTCTTAAAATTCATTGTTATTCCATAGACAATGATCTTGGAATTCGCTATCTGGCCTACAACCAATCTTTTTATATCAATTTCGTGCCAAGCTTTTGGGGTAATACCAAGTTTAACTGTGACTTCACCACTCAATTTGGTTCAGGAAACTATGCTGTTTATGATCACATAATGGAATCTGAAAGATGCGGTCTTAAATGTGTGTGGTACATAAAGGAGAACGGGCCATGTTTAATGCTAAACCCCAGGCACAACCTGTGGTGTCAACCATGGAAGAATCCAAGCAAATGGTTGCAGGAAACACATTAGAATTGAGTAGATAAATTCAACATATCATTGATGGCATTTCCAGTTGAAGTGCTTTCTTCTTCTTTTTCTAACTAGTTGTTGCTGGGCTGAATAATACTAAACATTTATCGAATAAAAGAAAATTACTTTTGACTAGCACAAACTTCAAAAAACACGAGTTCAAGTTAGAGGTCAAGTCGTGCTTGCACAACATACAACGACACATTTTAGGGTAATAAAACAAAACTATTGCTACGCGATCTCGAATTAGATAGCTAATTGCGCTTGGCCATTTCTACTTTTTACTTGCCCTTATACCAAAGTTTAAATTTATATACTTTTTTAAACTAAATTTTTCATGTTGGCTTTTGCTAAGTTGATTTAGGTGTTTAATAAATTTAGAAAAATTATTATAGATGAATTTGGAGCATCTAACAACAGATTTTGGGAAATAGCAAAATAATAGTTTTTCTGATTCTGTTTTTAGCCTTTTCAATTATCTAAAACTAGAGTGGTATCCATGGTGTTAAAGAGTAGAGTCACAATCTAACAATTAATTTTAAAGATATATTTCTTGAGACCCGCAACTTTTATTTTGAAATGTTTCATCAACTTTTATCAAAATTTGCTAAAACTTTATCAAAAGCTATGTCAAACAACCCAAAAATAGTTTTATAGACAAACTTATACTTGAGAGCTTGCTTTTGCTGTACCAAAGCAGGCAAGGCACATGATATGTAAGGAGGGCTATTTTTGGTGGAAGGGTGGTCTCGTATGTGTCACTCGATTCGCAAAAGTGTAAATTGTAACGGCTATTTTTGAATCTCTAGTTGCATCTTGCCAATTTTGAAGAATTGAATTCTTACTTCAATCTGTCATTTCTTGGCGACCTTTGACCAATCCTTAGCAGCAACACCGGATTTCCTCCCGGACTCGATTTCCACCGTAACCGCAGGTCAATGATCTGGTGCCCAAAAACAAGCCATGTAATCACTTTAATTCGCAATAAACACGAAAATACCAGAAGCCAAACGATTGCATGGTGATAACTTCTGTTTCAATAACAAATCAAGTCTTACTCAAAATACAATGTAACCTATATTGATTTACTAAAAATTACATGAGCAGTGATCTTGTAGGTGTCGAGAATGAGATAACCCTCATTGGGATTAGCAACAGAGTACTTGTCGACTGTCATAGCACGATCCATGAGATCTTCTTTTATGCATCTAGACAGGAGATGCAACTTCTAATTTCTATGTTTCAAGTTCAAACAAACGACCATGAACCTCAAAATCTGGTTCATGTATATCCCGAATTGAATAGCGTTCTCAAATGTGTGAAAAAGAAATCTATCAACACGAACACAATGCTCAACTGCAAAACAGAGTGGCAAAAGATTTTTATATTAATTAGTTTCTGCAACAACGATGCTTGATGATCCAAGACCAAACTCTTTATTTTCATATTCATAGTGATCCACTGTACTTTTTTAGTTGTTTATTTATCTAAAAAGATATGTATTTTCGATTGTTCTTTTGTAGTCATCTTGTAACTGTATTTCTCAGGTGATGGCAATATAACGACCCAACCTCTACATCCAAACCTAACTTACATACTGTCCGCTATGGAAGAGTCTAAGCCCATTTCATCTCTCACGAATTTCTGTCGCATCCTCAAAAATTTGAACACATGACCTCCCCTTAAAAGAAACTTAAGTGACGTCATTTACTCTTTCTTCGCCAATGAGATAATGTAGTTGGCTTACTGCTGCCACTTTCCCTACGTTTCAACTAGGGCTGTCCGTGGGTTGGTT